CAGAACATGTATTATGGTTCTTTTCTTCTGAACTCTGGGCTTTTTTTTGTTTGATATGGTGTGTAGAGGATAAAGGTGGAGCTGGAGATGGTGCAGGAAGAGCTCAATGGCACACGGAAGGATAAATTCATGCTGCAGGCTAAAGTGGGAGAGCTGAGGAATAGCATGAAGACTGTTCTTCAGCAGAACAACCAGCTCAAACAGGACCTCAAAAACAGCAGGCTCAGAAAGGTAAGACTAATGCTCATTTTAATTTTAAATATAGACAACATGTACGTTTGTGTGTTATTAACTATTTTCTATCCATATTTCTGTCCCCACACCAGCGGATGGATTTAAAGGGGGAATCCACCCCAGTGACACCAGTAAAAATCCCAGACTGCCCTGTTCCTGCTTCACTTTTGGACGAACTGTTGAAACCCTCAACATCCGTCAATAAAGAACCTCTCAATAACCTCCACAACTGTCTGAAACAGTTAAAGTAAGACTTCTGCACACCTTACCATACCTTTCTATGAGAAAACTAGACGAGAGTGGGCACACTGTAACACTGTCCCACTATTAGAACAAAACGCAGTTAGCGATTGAAATCACGCGATTCCCTATTATGAATATCTTCTATTTGCCTATGTTGTTTTGGCTGATATATAGTGGCTTCCAGTATTCATTTTCAAGCTGCAAAATTAGTTAATTAAATACACTATCATTCAATAATATGTATGTTTTTTACAGAAATTAATACTTCAAGCAAGATTGCATGAAATTGATCAAAAATAAAAGTGAAGAGATAATGTTACAAATGATTTCGGTTTCAAATAAATGCTGTTCTTTTGAACATTCTTTTCATCATAACATCCTGAAAACAGTGCATCACGGTTTCAACAAAATTAAGCAACACAACCGTTTTTAACATATTATAACGTGATTATATGATTATAACAGGAATTAATTCTTGAGCACCAAATCTGCATATTAGAATGATTTCTGAAGCATGTGACACTTACGATAAATTCTTTATCAAATTTGAGGATTTTAAGCTATCATAAGGTCATTACAACATACCCTGCCTTACATTTCAATTCCTTTCTTTCTGAGTAGATAATGAAAAATATATGAACCAATTCATTGTTTTCCTGAAAAAAATACCACATATTTGTACCAGACATATACAGTAAAGTGAATGAGAAAAAAGTAATCATTTTAACCCAAAGTCCAATTACACAAACCTGCTCTCCTGACCTCCCTTTTCATATAAATAAAGCTACCACAGCCACATAACAGATGGCATTCGCCTTGTGGGTGTCTCCTTTCTCACTCATCTGATGGTCATTTCTCGTAGGCAGGAGATGGACAGCCTTCAGAAGCAAATGGAGGAACACACGGTCACAGTAACGTCGTTGGCCAGTGCAGAGGAGGAGCTCCAAAAACTGGGGCTTCATGACAACAGCAGCAACGATTTACCTAATAAAGAAGAGAATGATAAGATCCAGGGAGAGATGCAGCCCTCGTAATCCACAATGAATCCTTTAAAGACGTTATCTGAGGAGAGAGTTCAGTTTTATCTTTATGGGCACTTTTATGTTTCTTTGTTTATTTCTTATCAACTGCCAATATTTGGCTTTATCTCTTCCTAACCAGGATTGTTCGGGTGAAACAAAGTGTTTCTTTATACCACAGCTTTATTTCCGGGGGGTCATTTTGGTGTTTGTTTGTGTTGTGATCACTATTTATTTTCAGTTTAACGAATCGTGCTGCTCTCTCTGTCTGATATGATCTGATCTGTTTATCTCACTTGCAATCTCACAGCAGTCGCCCACCTAACGTTCAGCTTTGATTTTGTTTTCTTTCTCATCTCATAAGAGGTGCAGAAAGAGGTTTGTGAGGGCTACTGCTAGGCTGCTTAGTCCTGCGGGAGTGGAAAAAAAAACACAAATGTGATCTACAACAAACATCCAGGGCGCCAGACTCCAGTGTTATAGTAACTAGTGATCTGTTGACCTAATCGGTCAGATGTATATTCTACATATCCGTCTGGTGGTAGTTCTCACTTCCTGCATGGAGAATTCAGCAGCTGAACTGTTCTTCCATTCCTCTGTGCCTGTGAATTAGCTGCTCTCATTCCATCACTGGACAGATGCCTGATCTTGAGCTGTTCCCTGCAATATAATGCAAATATTATCAACTAAACAATACGAGGCCCCATATCAATCAAGCATTTTAGAGCAGAGATCAGCCCTGAACTCTTTTTTTTTTCCCCCCAAAAAAAACAGCATTCCAGGCCTCAAATCAAGTCTAAAGCAATGCTGACAACTTCCTGTCTACATACACACTGTGTACCGCTTTACTCATAAGTCTCAGAGTTTAGATCCACTGTTATGTAACACATTCTTTGTGGGTACAATAATGCGACCTTGAGGATGCGCTTACAAAATTATATTTAGCACTACAGCCTCTTTCTGATTGAAACTCAGGACCTGAAGCCCCAGGAATGTAAGTGTGAGACTGGGAGAAAAGTAGTGGCCCTTTTGTACAGGGTAATATATTATAGATCAGATCATCCAATATCAGCTAGCATCTGGTTTGTGTCTATGGTTTGCAGATGTGAGAAAGGTCTTTGGCTGTCAGAATTTGACTAGTTTTCTTTAGGGCTGCGCCTTAAAATGAATCCAATAAGGAAACCTTTAAATACTACTAAAAATGTATAGCTTGAATGAAATGTTTCTGTTGAGAGGTCTTGGGAAATAGTGTAAAATAGGTTGAATGTGCTCTTGAAAGCGCTGTTGAGTGTGTTGTACGTATATGTTTATAATATATATGTAAGGTGTTGACTTATATTGCACAATTGATAAAAGAAAGCAAGCTTACTGACTTTCAGGTATGGACAGATGTAAACTATTACTTTTTGAGGGGAAGATTTTGCCATTTTTTTTTGCCCAATACTATGTTCACTTATTTAAAAACATTTTCACTTCCTGAAATTCTCATGGATAATTTGTCATTACAGCCTTAATTATTGAAAATGTGTGCAAGTATATTTTGGATAATGTATTTTAATTAGGTGTAATATTTCTGTCTTTCCCCTGATGTCTTCATTTCACAAACTCCGTTTGTCGGTTGTGTCTGTGGAGCTGTACTTAACCATGTAATTGGCTTGAACCGTTTTTAAGTGTGTTCTGAGATAATGACATTGATCTCCATGTGCGGTAATAACTTTTAGACTGCTTTAAATTATTAAGACATAATGGGAAATGACGCTTTACACACTAACATGTACATTTACCTTCAAAGGATTAACATATTCAGTAAAAGGGAGGGAACTGTTTTTAATTAACTGAAAATATACTGCGTGTTAATTACTGTACTGATGAAAAGCACGAGTTTCTGTTCAGTGTTTATAAATAAGAAAAAAAAAACGTTTAATTTGTTTGCTCAGCATTTTTATGGGATGTACCATATTGAGTGTAAAATATAAATCATTCTGTAAAATGATCACATCTTGTCTTTTGTTCCTATTTAATGTTCTTTGAATGAAAATATATTTTTATATTATATATATAACAGATACTGTTGCTAGAAGACACATTCTGCCTTTTATTTGATTTAATTGGTAAAATGTAATATTTACGCTTTATATAGTAATACACTGTATTGTAGAGTTTGCACCGGAAGTAGGTGTTCATATAACATGTCAGTTTTGATTATTTAATAAAACTACAAAGACTTTTTACACAATTTAGATTAAAATGGACAAATACTATTGATATGAGATGACAATTGGAAGGCACTTCCCAAATTAAACGTAATTAATGTGAAACAATATAGCACACTGCAGTTTAAAACGTTTACCGTTACATAGTGTGTACTGCTTCACAATCATTTGTTTGTGAACAACTTTTTATTTGTACACATCAATGAATAAATACATGATTGCGAGCCGCCAATAAAAAACGAAGAAGAAGAAGAAGAAATACATAAAGCAGCCACTAGGTAGCGCTGCTAAAGCCCGTCCAAAAACAGCAGAGACCCGTCGAGCAAGAGAAGAGAGACTTCCGGTAGGCACATTTCGCTCAGCTTTAACTTGAAACAACTGGCGTGATCTCTGAGAAGCCCATATTTCCATTTGTACATGATTATAGCTGTTTTGGTACATAAAGAGCCATTATCGAGCGCGAGGTATTTAGTTCCCTTTTTGCCACAATAAGTCTCAATAGGAATGGCTATATGGAAACTAAGCATATAAGGAGCTCTTGGTGTGCAACCCATCTCCACCTGCAGCTTTCATACATTTGCAGACAGAAGCAGAGGTAATATCTAGATTCTCTTATCTGGCTGAGTTTTAAATCACTCAATTCTACAGCTTATCGCCCTTTTTGTCTTCATTAGCAAAGTCAACCTGTCATTGTTAACTTAAATATGACGTGATGAGATCCTATATTAGCATTAGTAATTGCTATATTGTCATTGTCAGAGTACTGAATTTTAATATGTGGGTTTAAGCATAGTCCGACTCTTTCGCGAATCGGTTCTTTCGAGCAGTTCGATTCAAACAGTTCTGCCATTCCTTTACGTAATGACGTAATATCACGGCGTCGCATATTACACAGAATGTTCTCATTAATACATCTCTGTGTGGCAAAATAGACAGTGGTAAAATAAATGTAAAATGCTTTAGTGTAATCATTACAAAAAAATACAGCTTGTATTTGTCTTTCTTACATTTCTGCAAATAGCGACCCGCAAGGACATAATATGTGGAGAAGTTTAAATGCATCTCTTTAAACTAATTTAGCATATAATACTTGGATAAAGTAGCATTTAAAAGTGAGTTTGAAGTTGTGAACGAATCATTCAGATCTTTTTCGCGAACCTGTTCAGTCGATTCATTGAAAAGATCCGACTCACAAGATCGATACTCCGTGCACCCGGCGTTTGAAACACATGAACCCTGCCCGGCGTAGTGAGCAGGCGCAGACCGTACGACGCGCATGCTCAGACCGAGCTGTAAACGATGCGATCCTTCCAAAGCGTCCGCTCGATTCACACTCATATAAACGTTTAATAAGTCCCTCATGCACATCTGCGCGTTTACATCACGCACGGCATCACTGTTCAGCTGATAGATGGTAAGTGGTGCAAAAATGACGGGTGACATTTTCATCCCCCATGTTTTGATCTGTCATCTCCATTAATCAGGATCATGTAATATACAGACAAAAAACTACAATGGATGGTAGTTTGGGCGTGACACGTCGGCTTCAATAAACTTTTTCTATGTTGCAGATGCATGCTTGCCTCACGGGATGAGATTTAGAGGAGTGTAGTTCAAACGCGACCGGTGGCACGATTTGTGCAGCCCCACTTCATGTCGCACGTTTTTGATCCTTAACAATGCAAAGGAGCTGATGCTGTCAGTTTAACTGCCGCGATGACGCGCCATGACGCCATGCCGTGTTTCATAAACGGAACGGAAGTACATTATTTTAACCGTTGCATATGTTTGGTCATACTGAGCGAACTTTGTTTTCGTGTTGACTGGAAAAACTGCTGCCAGCTCAAAAACTGTGGACAGTGCCTGCTTAAATACATGATAACCAATAAAGTAAGGGATGTCCTTTGAAATTACTACCGAGGCATATTTAAAAAGGATACAAATTGCAGTTCTTGTAATTCCTCTAGTGAAAATGCATCTCATATTTTTGTGATGGTCCTTATACAAAATTATTTTGTAGTGGTTTTTGCTTAACTAAAATTTGCTTTTGGGTTTCTCAGTGCTGTTAAAGGATGTGTTTGGTTTCTAAAAATCTTCTATTGTTCTTTGGCAAATTTCACACTGCATTGTAGCTCGTCAAAAGCTCATTTTCATTGTTTTTGAAAAGGATATCAAGCAATATATCCAAGCTAGGCTATTTCTTCATCAAAGAACTCCAAAGCTCTTAAGACCGTAAACCTGTGCTGCCCTTTTAATTTATTTGGTTAAACAATGCAATTTTGTCAATGTCATACAATTTTATAGACGCGTAAAATCGTTTTTAGATTTATTTGCAATTTTTAAATTGATACTATTTAATTTTATAATGTTTAATATTAATTTTATAATTGGTGCTTTTCATTCCTAGTTATATGTACTATATTAAGTCTGTATATTTGCATTTGTTCTTCATGTGTATTTTTTGTGATGCCTTGACAATAAAAAAGGAAGTATATTGTTTCTCAAAAGCACTAGTAGTGTGGCAGAACATGTAAAGTGGCCTACCTGTTTTATACTACCTTTGTTGGCAGTCCCAGCTAATAATAATAAGCTAAAAAATAATAATTTGCCAGTCTTTACTCTCTTTTCTGCTTTTGTACTTTCATATCATTTTTAAAAAATTTTTTGGTAACTCCAAATGTGTGTTTTTTGTGATCAGGTAGCCGTAGCAGCAGAAGCATGGACGCTGTCCTGAGCAGGTTGAAAGGTCTCACTGCTGATCAGTTGAGGGAGGAGATCATTAAAGCCAACTTGAATTGTGGCCCCATCACTGCCACGACAAGAGCCATATTTGAGCGTAAGCTCGCCAGGACTCTGGTGGAGAATGCTGGACTTACTGAGCCCGACAACAGCGGTGGTAATAGTGCCTCGTTGAACAGCTCTGGTAGTGAAGTGCCACCCAGTGCCACATCAGCAACCTCAGATTCGGTTACAGGCGAGGATGGGGATTTTGGGTACGGTATGGGCCTTAACCCACCTGAGGAGGAGGCTCTGAGTGGAACGGTGTGCCCGTGTAATGTGGAGAATTCACAGTCGGAGACACAGACACCCTCTAAAACTGCACAGGTGTCGCCCACCTTTTTCTACGGAGTGTGTCCGTTGTGGGAGGATGTACTGGCTAGGAATGGTAAGAGTTTTTATCTTTACTTTAAACACCTTCTTGATGACACCACATGGTATGACCACAAAAAAGCATGGTAAAAGAATTGTGTAAAGTGATGTACACTAGCATTTAACAGTTTCAGATTTTTGAATGTTTTTGAAAGAAGTCTCTTCTCACCAAGGCTGCATTTATTTGATCAAAAATACAGTAAAAATAGTAATATTGTCAAATATTATTCAAATTTTAAATAACTTTTCTGTTGTGATATATTTTAAAATGTGATTTATCTCTGTGATGGTAAATCTGAATATTCAGCAGCCATTACACAAGTCTTCAGTGTCACATGATCCTTCAGAAATCATTCTAATAGGCTGATTTGCTGCTCAAGAAACATTTCTTATTATTATCAGTGTTGAAAGCTTTTATTCAGGATTATTTGATGAATACAAAGTTCAAAAGTACAGCATCTATTTAAAATAGAAAGTTTTGTAACATTGTAATGTAAACCTCTTTGTCACTTTTGATCAATTTAATGCATTCTTGCTGAATTACTGTATAAAAAAATGTGAAAATCATAAACAAAATTTGTTCTCTTTAATTGGTTATTTTTGCGCTGTTACTATAGAGTTGTTAGTACAGTAGCCTTTTGCATGCTTACACTGTACAGATGCCTTAAAGCTGTTATGTTGGTGTGAGATTGTTATTTTCCTCTTCCTGTTTAGAGAGAGCCCATGTGTACACAGAAAAGAAAGAGGCTTTGCAGGCTGTTAAAATTATGAAGGGGGCTCGGTTTAAAGCTTTCTCCAATCGTGAGGATGCTGAAAAGTTTGCCAAAGGCATATGTGACTACTATCCTTCGCCTAGTAAAAGCACTCCCTGTGTTTCTCCTGTCAAACCTGGCCTGGTGTTTAGCAAAGGTGAGGAATATCTCCATTATCTCAGCTGTAAAACCCATTTGAAAAATAATTGTAGTTTATACATTTATAATTTAATTTATAAATTAAATGATAAATTAAAAAGTGTAATCAATTTCAACCATGTTTCAAATTGTATTAAAAACTTGCCTATTGTAAATGTAAACTCTTTTCTGATAAATTCCCAAAACCAGACCACCCGTCTATGATGGAGGCAGACACAATCAACAGGGAGAAGGCAAACAGTTTTAAGAGCCCTCGGACTCAAGATTTGACGGCCAAACTAAGGAAGGCTGTGGAGAAGGGAGATGAGATGGCCTTTACTGAGCTGGTCTGGAGTAACCCTCGTTACCTCATCGGGTCAGGGGACAACCCTACTGTAGTCCAGGTGAAAGCTTTTGTACCATGATCTGTGTGTATGAGGTTTTGCCTGTTTCTCCCACTTGATATGGTGAGCTGTTGGCTTCTTTGCAAAGTTCAAAGTCTTTTTCCAAACTAGCCTGGTATCTTAATATTAAGTTATTTATTTACAAATCCCAAATATTTCCACATGCACCATTTTCCCACGTGTATGAATTCAGCTGTATACTTTTAAGCATGTTCTTCAATTTGTTCTATTTTTTTCACAACAGTTTATCTAAACTTATTCATCTCTGAATGCTGTTCTTTTAAATGTTTCTCTGTTGTAAATTTGACTGCAGGAGGGCTGCAGGTATAATGTGATGCATGTGGCTGCTAAGGAGAACCAGGCAGGCATTGTTCAGATCCAGCTGGACACTCTTGAGAACCCAGATTTCATGCGGCTTATGTACCCAGATGACCAGGAGAGCATGCTGCAGAAACGCATCCGGTATATCGTAGACCTGTACCTCAATACGCCAGATAAAGCTGTAAGTGGTGCTTCTTAATCTGTATTTGTTATTTAACTCTTCAAATATTGGTAGCATGAGTGTTGAGGTGGCATATTTCACATTCCTAGGGACATTTTTGCGGGTTACCTTTAAAAACTGGAGTGACTGAAATGGGAAGCAACACCATTAATGATCACTCAGTCAGTAACTTAATACTATGTACTATAGGTGCATTTATGCCATGTCAGAATTTTCATAATAATGAGATTCCAACTTAAACTAGAATACATTTGCTTCCTCTTAAGAACTCGTAAATACAACACTTTCTGAGAGGTCCGATTTGTGACACCTGACCACTGCAACGTCATGCAGAAAATGGTATCGCCTTCAGTAGTCAAATGCAGGGCATGACATTGCAAGTGTTTCACTTGCATTTGCGTCAAAAAATAGATGTGCGTAAAATGTATTAAGGAGCATGTGTCCTTAAATAGTTGAGAAATTTCAGTTTTATGAAATTTAAGGTCATAAAAAGTTTAAAACATTTTAAATGGTATAACAAACATATTAAGGAATCAACCATCGTTATTTACAAGTCGTTATTTTTGTTTTCTTTGTGCAAAAAAAGTATTCTCGTAGCTTCGTAACTTTACAGTTGAACCACTGATGTCACACGGACTACTTTTTCGACCATCTTGGTACTTTTCTGGACCTTGAACGTGGTAGTTACCTTGCTGTCTATGGGAGGGTCAGAGAGCCCTCAGAATATATCTTAAATTGTGTTCCAAAGATGAACGAAGGTCTTACGGGTTTGGAACAACACGAGGGTGAGTA